TGCAAACACTGTGGTTTTGATTCTATTCATCAGAAAACTTGTGAGAAACACAGTACTGTAAGTCTGTGTTTCAAATAAACCTCTCTTTATTTTCTCCAGGTAGCATGAAAACTACAGAACACTGCTTTTCCCCAAAGGAATTTGGCATAAGACAGTTTTTCACCCAGTATGCTCTTTGTTATAATAAGTTCTACTAACGATGGTTTTATGCAATAAAGTTATTGCACTTAGAAAAATATGGCAATGAAAATAGACATTGTGACTGGTTGGCGAGAAGCTGAAATTTAAAGAAGGCTTTCTCAATGAATGGATCAGAATCCCACATCCCAGTACAGCCATGGTTTTTCATGAGTAAGCATAGTAAGGAAGGGGTCAAGTGTTAGAGGTGATCATGTTGTAACTTCAGTAAGACTGTGCAGTTTACTGAAGCTGCTGTTAGCAGCTCAGTGTAAACCACTCCTAAGTAATGCAATGTACCAATCTCAGTGAAGCCCCCATGGGGGCTTGAAGTCCAGCTTTAACCTCAGTCTCTTGCAGGTACATGGCATATATCCTGTAGCTCTTAACAACATGGAGATTTTGGTACACATTTTGCATATTCAGGAAGATTAGTCCCCTGAGCTAGTACAATATGCCCACTATTTTTTAATTTTTCACTGGTTGTAAGGAAAAAAAAAAGGAGGTTACAATTGTTAGTGACTAGCACTCCTTCCTGTACCAGAAGCAACAACACGTTCTCAGCAACTTCCTCAGGAATTCTCACTCCTCTTTGGCCATTTGTTATCAGTTCTACCAGTAATGATCATTAGTGCATGGAGCATGATAAACTCATTACCAAAATCTACAAAGCAGTACAAAACCCTGCATTTCCTGGCATGCGTTCCTATTAAATAAAAATACTTTGACTATCAGCGATTTAGAACAACTGCCTGATAGACCTGGATGAAATGTGGAGTTTCCATTTACAAGAATAATCAGTAACAAAGTAAAAATTACGGAGCCAGACCAAAAGTCACCCTATCCCAGCATCCAGTCAGCAGCAGCAGTAGCATACATCAAGGCAGAACACAAAAACGGGGCACATGGAGATTACATCTAGATGGGAGCGTTTAAAAGTACATATCATGTGCATTCCAGTAATTTGCCTAAATTCATTTGAACCTCCTCATACTTTTGGCCTCCTTATCTCCCCATAGTGAAAGTTACTTATGCTGTGATAAAAAACTAATGTGGTTTGGTTTAAAATCAAAGCCTGAGCATTTCCATGACAATACCCAAGGTTTTGGACTAAGAAATAATGTATAATCACCCTTATTCAACCTTTTCATGGATGCCTAAATTTTTATCACATCCAAGTTAGTCCTCTTCAATGCCAAAGAGAAAAGATTTCAATTGTCCTCACATAGAAGTTAACCCACACTAAAGGGAAATTTTGTCTTCCAGTGTCTTCTGGTTCTAATGCGTTTTTACTGACCTGGGGAGATAAGGCTACGTGCTAGATAAAGACATGAGAAGATCATATGTTAATACAAACACATTACCATGTTTTTGTTCTGTCCTCATTTCTTATCACCATAACTCCCAATACCTTTTTTTTCTTTTTTGTCTACCATAGAAAATTGAACTGATATCCTCAGATAATTAAAGCAGCATAATAGTGCCAGAATTTCTCTCCTTTTCTGTAATAGTCTATTTAAAGCCCATCACTAGGTAAGTACAGTTAAGACTGTGTTTTCATCATGTATAATGACTTGCATTATTAACAATGAATTTCACCTACCATTTTATCAGACAGTCACTCTAAGGCAGAATTAATTTCACCACTTGATGTTTACAGTGCAAAGCCTCCACAAGAGTAGGTTATTTAGATTTTCTTTTTATACAGGTGAGATAAGTAAGCATTTCAGGAAATTATTTATCTCATTCTAAGCTAAACACTCAAAATAAGTCAAATGAATCATAATCTATTTCTCTTTTTTGAGCAAAAAGGAAGCCTGATTTACTTTCCACAGAAAGTAAATAAGTAAGATAGATCATTACCCTGAAAATAGCAAAAATCTAAGAGGTAAGTCTTAGCTAGTAGTTCTCCCTGCAAAATAATAATAATTACAAAAAAAAAAAAAGGCACTGCCCATAGCAATTGTCCTCATCTTTCTTGACACTTATTTTCATGTGGGATGACTCTCTTAGAGAAGTTTCTCTCCTTTCACTGAACACAGAGAGAGCAGAGAGGACTGAGACTTGGCATAATTTTTAGAAGGCGAACCTTAGATGAGATTAGTCCATTCTTGGCAAAATAAGATCCTTCTGAACTGCTAGAATTTAGTCACTGATTTAAGAAGGTGCCAACAGGCCTGGGTCATTCTGAACCACACCAACTACCACAGCTATCATTCCCTGTAAGCTTTGAGGTCTCACTATCCTGCACTCCTTCTAGTTCACTTCTGGATGAGCTGAACTGCACAGGACTTCATACAGTGACACTTATCTTTCCATTAAAAAACCTCACGAGCAGTCCACATTCACTGCTCTGCCTTTTAACTTGCAATTAATGCTTCCCCACCGTATGGAATAAGGAATTATTATTTTCTTCTAATTATATCCTGAAGTGAAAGCTTCAGTAAACACTGGAATTATTCATGGAACAGAAAACACTAGGGAGAATATTTTTGATTGAAAGAAATATTTCAATATTCACTAACCAAACTGCCAGTCTTCTCTTTGTGGAACCAAATGTAAATGCTTTGGTTTGGCTCCACTGGACTAATGTCTGCATCTTACGCGACGTTGCTTTAATTATAACCATGGTTCAAGACTCTCCCATCCTTAGCAACCAATTTGCTTAAAAGAAATGCCAATTATTTATAGAAGAGTTATTTACAAAGGGACCCCCGTGAGGCAGCATTGTGGGCACATAGTGAAACACTGACCAAACCAGAAGCATTTCAACATTATTTGAGAAATTAAGGTATGTCAACTTCTCAAATTAAATAATCTAGCATTTTCAATAGAAAATGCACACAAAAATAAGGACAATGGAAACTTCCATGAAATTTTCTCCTTTTTTAAATACAACAAAAGAAAACAAAACACTGATTTGCTTTTAAAAAACGTGACCAAAAAAAAATATTCCAGGGAGATCTATTACTGGACACAAATTCCATTAGCTAAACTAACTCTTATTTGTCTCTAACTATTCATCCAGAACTATGCCAGTTATGTAAATAATTACTTACAATGCTTGTAACACTCACTAAATGGTACATATTTCTTGAAGATATGGAGCAATGAGTTATTTATGTCTTGATATTTGTAATATCCTAAGAGAAGCACTATGACATAGCCGTTCAAATCTATTGCTGAAAATTACATAAACAAAATTTAGTTTGCACTTCTAAAAAAAATTATGCAAAAGTCTGAAAAGACATTCTACTGTATCTAGTGACAGAGAAAAAATGCTGTTTCTTATAAACAAAAGATAGATATCAATGCAATGTGTTACACAGTATGAACTTAGAAGAGTAATGGTATTTTAAAATGAAGTTCTGTGATAAAGTCATGAATCTTCCTCAAAACAGAACTACATTTTATAAACAATTTTAACACTGTGGACCAGAACTGCAAAAATATTTAGATACCTAAAAATGCAAAGAGGCACCATAAGGAATTTTCATGTTCCCTTTAGACACTTAGCTCCCCCAAATACAAACACAGATGATTGATTGGCCTTGTCATAATCCATCTGTCCAGAATGGAAAGGTGATGTGAAATATAAGCTCCGTGCTTATATTATTAAAGAATGTTTACCATTTTACAGCAAGTAAAGCAATGCAATCAATAGCAATCAGGAACATTGCTGCTTTTGGTGATCCTACCAAATACCATATGTATAATTCTTGCTCAAATACCTTTACTAATCTGGACCTTTCTGCTGTAATTAGATCAGAAAAACAAGAATAAATTATATATGCTATAAAATTATCATGTCATTTGTGTTAGAGTGCAAAAGTGGAGTCATGCCTATGACCCGCAGTGTTACTGTAAGCGAAAGAAAGGAAGAAATGACAACAAAACAACAAAAAAATCCAACCTGTAAATGCTTGTAGGAATCTCAGTAGGTGAGCAACTGAATGCATATCACAAATTTGGACTAAGTTGATATTTATTTTCAAGACAATGCAGAGATGTAAGAAATAAAAGATTACACAAACCCCATGCTGCTTTCAAGTGCAGCTGCTCTCTTCAAGTCAGTTGTTATTGCAAGTTGTCAGGAAACAGTTCCTTTCACTTGCAGATAACTCTAGGAGATTTTTACAAAAGTGAAATTTGACAAAATGAAGAAAGCTTTTTTATTCAGATCCACTCTGCTATTCACAGTACCACTGAAATACATTTAATCTGTATAAAAGCAATGAACTGCAACTGTGCTTTGGCAAACCTCAATGAGTTTTTAAAAGAGCCTATAATGACTACCCCTTAGAGCTCAGCATATTTATTACCCCAATAAACCAAGACCAGATTTGTTATACCTCACTTATAACCACCAAAAAATTAGCTGTCCAATCCTTTGTATATGAGCCTTTCTTTATCATTATTATTGATGGAGAGATTGGGCATTACAAGCAAGTTATTCATCTCTGCCTAAGACAGATACCTAAAATATGTGAAATAAATAACCCTCTAAAACCGTCTTGCTTTCAACTGTCAAGACAGGGAGCATAGGCTCAGACATGATGCCTAATGTTTAGATTAAGTCCTTTATATCAGATATGGTGGAGTGATCACTGCCACTTTAACAGCATTTATATATATATATATATATGTATATAAAAAAGCGTCCGTGTATAAACAAAAAAAAAAGCAGTGTAACACTCCTATATTTATCAGAGTAAACATCATGATAGATCAAAAAAGCCAGAGAGTTAAGTACATCATGGTTGCTTTCTCACTTTGCACAGCTTGTTTGCTTTGCAGTTAATGAAACAGGGATACAAAGACACTCACAGATTGATAGATCTTGATAAGATGACAGACACAGTCAGAAGGATGCACCCACAGGGACCAGTTTCAAACTGAAAAGGAAAAAGATTAGTTTTATTTTGTTTGTTGTGTACATTTTTTTCCCTGTTCTAAAGAAATGCAAATCAAACTGAAAGCAGAAGAATTGTTCTAATTTATGCTAAAACTGAATTTGCTGCTCTGTTTGTTAAAATGCATGTCCATACAGTGTTTGAAACAATGTGCAGGAGACATCATACAAGACTGATAAATGCAGAAAGACTGGCAGCTGAACTATAACAGGTTTAGTGTTTTCTCTATACACAGTACCTGGTGAATATTCTGCTGAAGAAAAACAACCAGATCCTCGTATCTTGTGGCACTATGTAGTATTAGCTGGGAAATAAAAAAAAAAGTAACTGAAATGATTACAACTCACTTTTATAACCTGAAAGCCAAAACTTTAAATCTGAATGGAAAGATCTGAGCTAACAAAATGGAGTAAAGATCTAATGAAATCTACCTCTTCCTGGTGTTACCTCGTATAATATTGCATATCAGCATTTTGCATATTCTGAATTTTTAAATACTGCTTCTTGTTGGTTTTAAGGTTGTTGAATAGTTTGATTCAATTTTAAACATTGTTTATCCAATGAAAAACAATTCCTGGAACATAGGAATACTGCAGCTTTAGAAGACAGAATGGGCAAGTAGCTCAGGAGTTGGTACCTGTGTGGTGAGCCATCTATAGCAGGCATGTATCAGCACACTTTTTATCATACTCAGAGAATACTCCCATGAATACTCCTATTTAACATGAAATTCAGGACAGTTCATAGATCTAGGCCCTTACTTAACATTCTTTGTCTATTTTCCGTCTTCAGATTTGGACAGAAATGATGGTCTTGCAGATACTGTCTGCGGAAAGATTGAGCAGTCCGGATTATATTGCTTTCCATCACATTTTCACTGTGGCTATGTCCAAAAGACCTTTGATAAGCAGGACGTAGAGGCAGCATAATGGTGTTAGTTGCTCTCTGAAATAGCCAGCAGCATAGAATTATGTCAACATATTAATTAAATAATTTATCTCGCCTCTTGGAAGAACATTTTATAACCAAGGATTTCTGCTGCATTCACACTACTTCTACAAGCTTTCAATTCCAGTTGTTCCAAAACTGCCTGGTTCTGATAAGGTGTTGACACATTCACTCCTCCATTTAGGAGGCCAGTGAGATTTCCTTAAACCACTAAGGCCTGGCTTTTGGCATCACTGCTTGCAAAGCCATTTGAGAGCTTCAGATGGAAATAAGGCATAACTGGAGATTGTTTTGCCATTTGGAGCTTCTGGAGGAAAAAAAAAAAAGGCAAAGAAGAAAAGACTGCCTTTTGATGCTCACAGCCATGCTGGTCAACTTGAAAGGATCCACGTTCACTTTTACTGCATATCAAAAAAAGTAGGCAGTTTATAAGCTTGAAAGGTACATAGAACAAAAAGGACTTCAGGGAGTCCAAATTGCCCACAGACACTGGGATAATTCAGAGCCAGACAGACTACAGGATTTTGCTATTTCCTATTGGGTTTTGGATCTCAACTAATTTGACATAAAAGATTTTAAAACACTAAGAGAGCAATGGAAATAAGATTCATTGCACTAAAATAAGAAAAGGTAGAAAGAGGATATGGAGAATGTTACTCTGAGTTACACAGAGCCTTACAGTTTCTAAGATTCCATCTGCCTTGTATTTTCCTATGGGAATGAACTGCTGTCTTCCTGATGGCCTGAAGAGGATATTCAGACAAAACCAAAGTTCATATTAAAAGGAACAAAATGGCATTAAAGAGAAATCAACATATTATATGAACTGAAAGATAAGCCAAAGATTTTGTGTTATAATACGTAAGTTCATAATACATATTAAACAAACTTTTATCAATTAAACATATTCTTTAGCAGTGCTGAGCTCTCTCAGTCTATTTAACATGTTTATACAGAAAGATGATAAATATAGGTTTAAGATGTTAATGACAGTTTTTATTGGAAACAAATATTACAGCAATGACATTAAAACAAGCAGAACATATGTACAATATCATCACAGAAGAAACATTTTATAGATGTAAAATATGCAAAATATCATTTGAAATGTCTTTGAATTTCCTGCTTCTATTTCAGGTTTGAAGAAGAACTTCTGTGCTCAAAAGCTTCTGCTGTTTTACAGCTATCTTAGTTGATTTAATAGAAGAAATTACCTATTCTCACAAAACCTGTCTCACTTAAAAATAGTGTGTAGGATTCAGTACAGCCAAAGCTAGCATTCTAAAAGTTAGATGTCTTGTGTACAAGCAGCCAAATAGCATAGCATAAACTAAGTTACCAATAGGCTTCTACAGCAAAAAGAAATTAATTCCATCCATAATAGAATATCCTGCAATACAAAATCGTTGGGAGTAAAACGCTGCATCTGGAAAAATCAGTCTTGGTAAAGATTTGGAGGGATCCTAGCCTCAATGAAATCCAGCGGATCTTTCACATCAATTACAAAGAATTGACTATTCTGTTCCGATTACTGGGACAGCAGAAATGACATTTTGCATTTCTCCCTAAGCCATTTTAGACTGCATAAATACATTTTACAAAACTTTCATTTTGTAAACTATGTACATATGTAACAGACACAAGCATAGGAGCATTATTCAATAATTAAAACTGCTTCTCCTACTTACAGTGCCACAATTGCTTTTTCATTGCCACCTGCACGCCACAGTATGTCTGCAATTGCCATGGTGAGGCATTTGGTCCTGTGAACTTCTGAAGGCTGAAGACAACTGTAGTCCAGAAAATACAAGAAACAGTCAAGTACTAAAATGTTTGTTGGGAAGCTTATTCATTAGAGGTCAAACTACCCCAATTGCAGTATATACAGATTCATAGTAAATTTGTAGTTAAATGAACAAAAGCATTCTTTTAGAGACTATTTAGGTATTGTAATGTTTAATCATGAGGTTCCAGTAAGTTGCCCCAGAAAATGATAATTTAGGTATCTCAGTTCCTTCTACAGTGAAAAGACAACTGGGTTGGTCAACTCAAAAAAACCCCGTGTGTTGAACAGAGAGCTAGTATGGTTACTGAGATGACATACCAGCTATAAAAGTATAGTTGAATCTGACCTTTCTTTGAGGATTAAGCATCTGAATGAAATGCTGTGAAAGCACTCACTGTGCACACAGTATGAGACTTCTCAGCACTGGACTGAAGGTGATGGGAGAATGTGGTGCTGCTGTTCAGCACTAAAGTGCTCTAAAGAGGGAGATGCAGTTGAAGTCAGCACTGAAATACGGACTTTCTGGAACCATTCTTTGAGGTGAACCACTTTAAATCTCATTTTAGGCATTTAAGAAGGTACCTTGGATCTTACTGAAGATAATCAGATCCAGTGAATAGAGCTGTATCTAGAACAACCTCCTCTTTAGGTTGCTAGTAAACCAAACTGGGCACAGGGGGTAGGTCTCTTCCAGAAAGTAAAGGGATGTTAATTCACCAAGGTGAAATGCTATGGCATTTGGGGGATCTGGATGATGTTACGGTGATCAAAGTGATGGTTAGACTGCTGTTCGGGGTACTTAAGATAAGCAATTGTAATCTTACTAGTCTATGTCTATATGTTCTATGACAATACACTGATAATGCCGGTGAACCTAAGAGATAAAATCTCTAGGAGATTAATAAGAAAGATGGTGTCTGATTTCTAAGGAACAATTAAACCAAAACTATTTTTATCATTAAGAGCAACAGACCAAAATCAAGAGAAAACTAAATAAGGTATTATCAATACAGGATCTATAATCATACCCTGAAAATTAATCTTTTAAAACAAATACATACTTAAAATACACATTTATAATTGGCAGGACAAACAAGCAGGTAAATGTACTTTAGGGAACAATATTGTATCACCATGACAAGAGAAGCTAATTCATCTCTAAAACCATAATAAAATTATTTGATATTCTCTAACAGGAATTTTTTACATATTAAATATGATTTTTAGTTTATAATGGCCTTCATACTTTATTACGTTTTTATTTCTTAACTCGTCAACAAACCTGCACCATAATGTTCTTACCTACTACTAAAATTTATCTAAAGCACCATCTGCAATAAACACTATGCTTGCATTTTTTTAATAAGGTGGTGACCTAAAACATTACAGTGACTGACCCAGTATTTGTCTGTGGAGCCCCACTTTTTCTGAAATATTTTCACTTAGATGCTTTTCTTGGAACTTACACAATGATGTGCAAAACTACAGTCTATTGATCCAAAATATGTAAGCAATGGCTATCAATACACTTCCTGCAAACTGTGTTTTGTGAAGTCTTCTAATACCTCCTGTTATTCTAACTTCCAAGATGAGAATGAAGTAAAATGGACCAGGAGGCCGAAAGTCACATAATGTTAAACTGGAAGATTTAAGAATAAAACCTAACATCCAAGAGCCTGAAGAAATGAACAACAGATCCATGCCCCTGGGAGACACAGAACTGGAATGCTCTAGTGGCTTCGAGAATGGCAGTCTTTGAAATTCAGATAGTATCAGTCTTAGAGTGTTACCAGCATGGGAGATTATGTCAAAACCTGTTCCCAGCATTTGAGTAAAAGATCTAATAATTCAAAAGACTAAACAAGAAACACCAAACATCAAAAAATTAAACAGACTTTCAAGTTCAATGTCTGCCTTGAATATAATGTTCATTTAGAGAATGCTTCCCTCTGAAGGATGTGAGATATGGGAAATAATTGGTGAGAGTTTTCAAGTACAAAAAATAAAACCACAACTTTCTCTAATCTCTGCCTGTGTTCTAATACAGACACTCTGAATTTTATGGGAAGCATAGCAACTAATTTATGTGTCTGAGAGAGGCAGCAGAGTAAGGAGACATGATAATTATTTCTTGAATGCTGAAGAAGCCTGAAGTCAAACACTTACTGTAAAGTTGTTAATAATTTGAAAATTCAGGTGAGAATTAGAAAGGAATATTAATCCTCTCATTTCAAACTCTGAGACTTCCCTTTCTTTCTGTCTGCCAAAGTTTCTGCCTATGGCAAACACATCATAAGAAAAGTATGTTTATCTCATGAATAAAGTAAAATCTTTTAAAATTATGTGTATAATAGCAAGGGAAAAATAGGAGAGGCAAATATTGCCATGTAAACAGGATCAGTTGTAGCTGGCATGAGTTGGGACACTTATAGTTTAAACAATCTGGCCTCAATTAACTTATCTGGGTGCCACATAATTTTATGACATTTACGATCACTGAATAATGTTGAAAGAGGAAAAGGTTAGCATCTCTATTTTTACTAAGGATGACCTGAGACTCAAAGGGACCAAGGAGCAGATGATCAAAGACTGTCCTCCAAGCTGAAATAAATTCTTGGTTTTCACAACCAGAAATAATTCTTTGGTGAATTCTGTGGAGATTCCTTAGCATTAAAATCTAAATATGTAGCGATTTTCTTGCATGGAAGTTTCTGAGTTTTTCTTTTATGTGGACAAGAGCCTCATTCTGCCTTGAAGTCCACTCGCATTATAATCTGAACTAGGCTAATAAAATTTTGCTAGCTAATTTTTACACTTTAAAAAAGTGCGCTCCCATCAGCAGGCTCTTGGTATCAGTTATGGACAGATGTGATGTACTGAAAGAATTGAACAGAAAAAAGAAAAAACCTAAACTACATAACATTGTAGAATTAACCTGACATTACTCTGCACATGTATTATACCACTAACCCTATCTCTGTATCAGCACATGGTAATTGCCTTTAGGTGACTTCAAGGAAAAGGCTATTGTCAAGTGATCTTATTTAGCCCTTGTCCTGGGGTCCACAAACAACCAGTGAAACTACTAACTAGCAACAGCAATAGGAACATTAAAATTTTCAGTATTTATTCAAATAGACTCTAAGCCTGGTTTTAAACATTCCTAATGGCTTATTAGCTGTCTTGTACCAGAACTGCCTACCCACCAGCTCTCCTGGACCTGGACACATGTGTTGATCCTATAAGGCCTGATAATACTTTGGTTAATTGTCACCTCCCATACTGGGTGCTGAAAGCAAATAATGAAGTTCTACAGGTGCCTGTTTCTTTCCATTATTGATGAAAAAGCTCCAACAATGAATTTACATTAAATGCCAGTCAGACAAAACTAAGGAAAATCAACAAAGCCCCTGTGACTGTCCTAAACAGTTCCAAGCAGAAAAGTGTGTATTTAAGGCCCAGTTTTTGTACATGATGAACATTTTTACACTGCGAGGTAATGAAGTTCAAGAACAATCTCAGCCTGAAAGCATTTCTTCTGACAAAATTGGGGTCAGTGTATAATCCACAAATAACACAAGGTGGTGGTAGCATTAACCACTAAAATACTGTTATGCCTGTTCAACAAACTGTACCTATAAAGCACAGGAAAGCTTAGTGAAATTTTTGTTTTGTAGTGGACTTAATTTCTTACTGAGAACAAAAATGAATACAAGAAGTCTGGTAATAAAAGTAATCTTTTTAAACATTATTTTCTAGCATTTGATTGAATGAGCAATGTGACAAGTACATTAATATTATAGCAGTCCGAGCAATTTTCCTTGACACTAGCAATATTTAATAATGTTTCTTTAAAATAAGTAGAAAATATACACATAGAATTTAAACTCAAATTCTGTTATGGAGTTTAACTGTGAAAGATTGAACACAGTAGCCAGAAAAAAAAATAGCTGTAAGTTAAATTTTTCACCCTCCTTGAGATTCTGAGTGTCAAAACCTGCATAAATTTCATGGTCTTTCAAACCCTCAATAGATTGTCTTTGAAATTATATCTCCATGAGATCTCAAGGTTAAATAATTTTCCCTGGCCTCAATTCAAACTGTTGGATTTTTTTAGAGGTTCTTGGGTTAATCACAAGCAAGTAATTATACAAATAAAACATCAACCTCTAACTTATTGCAATTGAAAGAGAAGTAAATACAAGAAAATCATATGCTACTTTCTCTCTCAAAGAGAAGTTCAACAAGTTCAAACTCAGAAGGCTCCTGAGTGGCTGCAGCAGAGAAAAATAAATTTTTACTTCTGTATGGAAAATATTTCTGTTGTCAGTTGCTGACTTACCGAATGTCTTTATTCCTATTACTGTCTGCAAAGATAAGCCGTTGTAGGACACAAGCTTGAACTGCAGCCAGTACTCCACACGGGCCACCCTGAGGGGAATAATATTCACTCAATGGGCAAAACAATTTGCACTCTTTGATGCTGGTGAAAACTTCTGCAATCCATATGCTTCCATTCAGGCTTATTCTTTCATGTCTCTTTTCATCCGTGACTTTGTCATGACCTCTGTTACTCTATTTTTTAATTTTTTTTTTTTTGCAAGCCACTGAAAATCAGTGTTACTAACTGCTATTGGTTTTCCCACCTATTTTTTCCTGAAAATGCCTAGACATCTATAATGTCAAAGCCTTTTTAAAATCTGCTCTGTGATTATGCAGACAATTGAAAGATCTCCTGATCCTATTGAGCCACAGCTTACATTAACTTCCCCAAGAGAAATCAAATATGTTTTCCAACAGGTGAAAATAAGCCTTGCTCTTTTACCTCCTCTGAGCACTGTGCCTCCTCTCAAGTTCCCACTTACATCACTACCCAAAGATTATGGTTTTTTGCATAGCTCTCTGCACCAGCCAGCTACCTCACCAGGGAAAAACAATGACAGTAAGAAAGTATGGACCAGCCAGCAAGTTGTCTGGAGAGTCTGTGTTCTGATTTTATTTCTCAGCTTGTCCTAGCTAGAGCATCAAACCTAAGTGAATGGGACCTACCGGTACAGCCAGTATGCACAGTATGCAACCCAGAAAATAAAGGCCCTATAATCAGAAAATAGCTTACATATCGATAGCTGTCATTTTCTCATTTATATTACATGCACTCTAACTCTCTGTAATTACTTACATAACTGAAGAGCGAATCATCTCAAATATATTAAGGAAAAAAGCAAGGTTTATTTCAGTCCACAAGGGAAAGCCTCTCAGTCAAAAAAGAGGAACCATTCTAAACATTTTCCTATAGTACCATGGTAACTTAATGCAGAAGAGAATCAAACAATTTTTCAGCTGAAATGAATTTAAAAGTGAGGAGGAATATATTAACTATTTGAAATAAACACATCTGAGCAAAATGTGCTCGTTTACTATTCTTGTTGTGGAAGTTAATGGCCAGTAACATTTACTGTGGACCAGTGAACATTACTGCCATGGTTCCTTTTGGAGTGTAAATTAACATTTATCTTTTTACCACTAGTTAGAGAATACCTAGAATTGATGAAAACCTTGTTTAAGGAGGAGCTGGGATCTTGTGGCTGCAGTCCAGAATTACAGAAACATGGCTGCAAAAGAGGTGGTCCCACCAGCAGTTCCAGCATACTGGTCCCACTGACACTGCAGGGGCATTTGCTCCCTTTCACTTTAGGAATGATGCGACCCCCATCATGTGACCCCCATCACTTGACTCCTCTATCTTTAAGAAGCAAAAACCTTGTGATTTCCCAAGAACTGCAGGCAATTCTTGCTATGTGCCCCCATTCTGAGACAGACCAAGCTCCATCTTAAACTTGTTAAACACCACCCTTACATATACTTTTTCTCTTGACCCTTGATTTATGCACGTTTATTCTTTTACCACCACTAGCTTTCAGCTGAAATGGCTTGTCTTTCTCCCTACAAACAACTCCCCATCACACACACACATGCACACTTTCTGCAGTTACTTTAAGATTCCCTCAGAAATATTCCATCTATCTCAAGTCTCCTAACAGGACTTGACAAGGTGACATCATCCAGTGATAACCGGAGAAGTTAAAGAAAGAGTCTTTAGAAGACTTCTGGTTTTTTAAACTGCCAAAACACACAGCCTTTGTAAGCTCAGTGTAAAAAGCAAAGATCACTTTAAGGAAGTAATTTACGGTACCTTTTTTTGCACAATGCCATATTTTAACTGCGGTATGTTATTAAACGTAAAATTCTGTATTTTCCATTCTTCACTGAAGCAACAAAGACTGGAGCCAAACAAAAGATTTTTTAACTCCTACAAAGAAAGAAAAAAGAAGGAAAAAAGAAAAAAGTTCTCATTTTAAAAACAAATCCAAATCACAGGTATGTTTTCTTGCAGAAATTTGTAGAAAGGAAAGGAGGGTGTGGAAGGTAATGACTAACTCACTATAACCAGCCTTTTCTGTTTTATACATACTGTAAATAGTAACGCTCAAATGAAAAGGAGCAATTTTTTCCTTTTCCTGCAATATTCCTTCAACTCATTATGCTTTGTGCCGCTCAGTTTAGGAAACTCTTTATGCAGATTGTCTGGGGCATAGTTTCCCATGGAAGCATTACAGAATATTCCCTTAAATTTAACAGCTAGTAGAGCCACGCCTACTAATGGTTACCTTAGGGAGAAAAGGACCCTACTGGACACAGTATGGAGAAAAGGCATACTGTTTTGCCTGACAAAGCTGTTGGTACGAGATAAAGGTTACTCAAATGTTTGACTGCTGTAGTCAGATGGCACATCAGCATATGCCAAATTCAGATCTGGGCCTGAAAACCTGCAGACCACTACTATTGAGGAATAGTGAAACTGAATAAATTGCATTCATCTTAAAGTAAAGCTGAGTACATAAGCACAGACTATTCAGTGTTTGTACAGTTTCTTAGGCTTCTTTGACCTAGCAAAAAAATTGGAAGGCACCCTCTCTATTTTTAATCTGGGGGGTTTTTTCTCCCCTCTGTCTGAATGGGAAGAAAAATATTAAAAGTATATAACTGTTCCATCTCTGCTCAAAATAAGGAAGATAAGCAAAGGGAGAAACAGTGATAGGGGAATAATAAACTTGTTCTGAACCACTGTCAATTAAAATGACTGAAGGATAAGCACATGAATATCTGACTAGGTGCATTAATAAGATAATGCAAGCTTCTTTAACTAAAGCTATTATCTATGCTTCAAGTGGGCTGATGTATTCCGGCATGCTCTTCTGGTATTTTTCTGAATTTTAAATGGCATCCCTACATTATTTTTTCTCTTGAATACCAAATAAGGAACATACTCAGGAACGAATACAGCACATGTTAACTCACACATGAACATGCAACACAAAACAATCCATTGAAGCTTTGACTAAGTTGGCTGAAATAACATTCTCACACATCTGTTTGTATTTACCATCATAGTTAGTCTTACTTTTGCAAGAGAAATATCAATTGCCTTTGATACTATTTGGAGCATATAGAGTGTTGAAAGATCCGAGTTCTTAATAACTTCTCCAGTTGTTTCTTCAGCTTCAACATCAACTGAAAGGAAAAAAAAATCATATAATGTGTTGAATGAGAAAAATGGCTTCCCCCAGCAGGCTCAGTGCCAGGAGGTCATGAATATGAAAATTAACACTTTCTTGTGTTTCTCTTAATCAACTAAGAGTTACAAAAGAAGCGACTAGTATGTATTTGGTTACAGCTGTTCTGTGGAATAAGATGGTAAAAGCCAAACTGAAGCTTGGCATAACTTACCTAATTCTAGGACATCTTTCATCTGCTCTTCTTTATAGCAAGTGGATGTTGGAGACTTCCTACATGAAAATTAACCAAAAATGAATGACCAAATGTTCACTTTTAACGAGGAAAAGTTGTTTCAACAAAAAAGAAGAAACATGGAGTATGCCTGCATAAGGATACCATTTTATTCATTAGTGTGACTTCGGTGTATGTCAGGTCCTACAAGCTCATATACACAGACAGATTTTATACTGCCCTGCGTTTTAAGTAAGGATATTCACATATATTAGACTGCCTCTCAGTTTGAAGAGTCAGGAGATAAGATAAAATTTACATCCCTGAGATGAGATTTACATGATGATAAGGATTTACATCCCTGAGATGAAAATTTACATCCCAGGATGAGATGCAAGCTAGTCATTAAATTAATTGAAATACCCAGATAATATAAGTGGGAATAAGTGGAGTCCTTTATCAGGGTACTTTTTTAATCCACGAATATGTAGCAGTTGTTCACAACCGCCCCTGTGATTTAATTATACATATTACATAAATAACAGGTTAAAAATTCATATAAACAGCTACTAAAAGGACTAAGCATTTATTGGCTGTGAAGTCAGAACTTAAATAGGATGTCAGATTTTCAGAGATGAGGTGGGTTTATTCTTCCTGTTGAATTTGTACCAAAACAAACCCAGAACCAACTTAAAGTTTCAAATAACTACGGTAAAAAAAAATGGTCACTTTTTTTTGGGTGGGTTTTTTTTTTGTTGGTTTTTTTTTGGGGGGGGGGGGGTGTTTTTTGAAAGAGCAATACTGCATCATTTGTTTTTGCTTTAGAATAAAAGGTATTACACTGACAGTCCTTTCAAAAATCGTATGGAGTAATTTCCTCAGCAACATTCTTTGTATGCATGATATTATATTATTATAGCAACAACTACTGTAATATCACATACTTCCCATTAACTTAATTTCCTTTTTCAGTGTGTGAAAGATGAATAAAAACAGAACACAGACATATCACACTCAGGACCTTCCCAGTTCAGAAGCATTTTGGCACCTCTCTGTGATAGTCTTTGATACTATGAGAAAAGAAACACTTTTTCTCTATAAACAAGTTAAAGGATTTATGCAATGAAATGTGGATGGACACAATTCAGAAAAGATAGAATGGAAATGAATCATCCACCTTAATATGGTGGTAAAAATAAATAGGATGCCCAGCAGATCACTGTAAATAAAGAGGACTGAGAGCAAATCTGTATAGTGGCACAAGTACTATTGAGCTCTCATTGAATATAATGGTACTTCTAATGTGCTATAGAGTTTAATATAGCTGACTGTGTTAGAGCTTAAAATACAATGCATTTTCCCCTTGCTTTTTGCTAATACTGAATTCCAGCTGAGATTTCTTTCTGCTAGCTACTTGCTAGTATGTTCATCTCTCCTAATCATTTGCCAATAAAATGTTTTTCAGCCTAGTACTCATGTCATTTAACTGCGCTTAGACATAATCACAATCCACATTTTTGTTTTGTCTGAGATCACACGCTATTGTTTCTTGTTTCCTAAAGAATAATGTGTTTCTTCCCAGGTCAACCCATTTCAATCTAGTTTTGGAAAAACAGAGATCCTAACACTTAAGAAAGCAGCACTACAGGTTACAGGATCCTATGTGCCCTCAGTTGCAGCTTTGGAATGACTTGGGTCTCCTATACGTACTGTATCATATCTTCTACCTTCATTGGATAGCTTGGGTACCTTACAGTCTCAAATAGCACTATGTTTAGGCATGTAGATCACTCCCTACATCATGTTAGCACCCTTGATTCATTGTTGTCCCAAACACTTCTCCTCAGTAGCATTTTATCTGAAAATACCTATGAATGAAAATAAAAACTACAGTACAATTCATATATAGCTCACCTGGCACCAGGTTTTGTAATATTATTGCTTTCTGGAAAGTCTGAAAGATTTTGGTTCTACATTCATTCCAGGAAGAACCAACCCCGGGATGCAAAGTGCTTTGAATTCTCAAGGCTGAGAATTCCCATCAAGCTGAGGAAAGAGCTGACACTGAAGACTGATGTAGGGTATTTTCTGGTTACGTGGGTATTTTTGCAGGTGTAGGTTCCCTCCTTAAGGGGAACTTGTGTTTCTCAAAACACTGTCAGGACATTTATTGCAATTTCCATGTCAGCATATGGTTACTGTTCCAGGAAAATTTATTGTACACATAAAATCATACAGTTAGAACACTTAGGAAGGGGGAAGCCATCCGTCATGGCAGAAAAACGGGACAGGAAGAAAATATGTTTCATTATAAACATACTGTACAGTACTTTCTGTAAATATTTGAACATTCCTATCTGATCTCCATGCACTGCAGAAAACTGAATTTATGCAGAATAGCTGAACTTGCAGAGAAAGTACTTCTTGGCACAATAATGCATGTACATTCCTCACTTTCCTATTTATACTGCCATACGCAGGAGGTCAAATAAGCAAAGTGGCTTAAAAAATAAACGCTGATCGTCAGTGTCTTTAAGATGACTGCTAGTAAAACTTACTTTCACTGGCTGATTACATCAGCTTTTCTACTGGACATACATCTTTTCTGCATAATAATTTAGGGTCAGAAGGATGCCTAGAAGTTGCAATGTAATCATCTAGTCTCATGCTGTTATGCCATACACAGATGTATATGACATTCTTGGTGTATGAATAAGATCTGCAGAGTAGGTAAGAAAAAGATTAGATTCTGTTACTACTTACAAAAGGGTCAACAAGGCTGTTATACACACTGCAGGTTGACAAGATGACAAAAACTTGGGGCAAGATGATTAAAAACAGAATTATTAAAAGCAATTGTAAAGAAGCAATGGAAATAATCAACACCAGGCAATATATTTCTATGGGAAAAAGACCTTGTCAAGAAGATTTAATATAAACTCTGCCACATTTGCAGGTCTGGCTGACAAAGGTAACAGAGCTCATACACTTAATTTCTCCAAACTGACTTATTAGTTAAGACCTGCATCTGACTTTATTGGCACATTATCAGTATGAAAAGTTAATTCATGAAAAGATGGCTCATTGACAGATATGAAAAAGGCAAATGAAAAACTTGTCATTGAAAGGGACATTTCTAATAAACTCCCTTATGAATCTGCATTCGTCCTGCTGCATTTTATTAGTTGTCACTGTAGTGACAACTCAGGAAAACTACATCTTTGCTTACAAAGTTTGTGTATAAAAAAAATATGATTAAAATTGCAGGCTGAGCTAGAAGATGGTTTGAACTGCATGTTGAATTGGGCTCACCTGAACAGAAGGCTCTCTCCTAGGCAATGAGCAAATATGTATCTCCAGCTACAAAACCAAACCTACTATAATAAAAGTGTAGCTCCTTTATTCATACTGTTCTTTATCAGATTTGTTGGTGTAACATCCCCACACCGGAATTTTCAAGGAACAAAGTACCCACTCACGTGAACTGACCATTACATTCAGTAATTCAAAACAGTTAACAGTAACATATACAAGTATCAGTACAATAAAAAAGGGAGCTAAAATTCCATTAAATAAAGATGATTACAAGATACCAACTAAGAGACACTACATAAGGCACTGAGAATGGTTCCCAGACTTCAACATTCAATCAGTTCACATTAGCAGAGATGACTTCAACCCTTTGTTCTGTTTGTCATACATGAAGTACCTACTCTGTCTGATTTTGGGCTTCAACTTTCAGGCCATTTATTTTTAAGAATGTGGAATTTCTGTGGCCTTACATTTCTTGTCAGAAACCTCAGATTTTTACTATTCCAAACTACTGTAACCTGACAGATTTTAGCAAAATAAATTATCTTCCTGAAAGCTAATATCAAGTGTTAAATTGGAAGAAGACAAAAGCTTACACTGAGGAGTGAGATTGTTATTTTATTATACAAAAAAGGTGAATACGGGTAACAGCCTATTGGTGAGCACACGTACTGTAGAGAGAGATTTTACCTCCTGGTAAAGTAATCTTCGGGAAAGTAACACACTGGGGGACAATATTTCCATGTGCTACCTGCAAACACCTGATTGTTTTTAAGGGGCAGGTAATTTCTTATGCTGCTTCCTACCACACTCCCCCCGATGCTAGTACATAGACACAGTGAAAAGAAATGGTGTGAAGCTCTACCAGTGAAACAGGATGTGCACTGTCTGTTCTTGCTTTACGTTTGAGAAGATCTAGAGTCCCTCTGTGTTTGCACGAACAAGGCAAATTCTCAATTGACTGAATGCATTTTAGGCAATGGGCTGGACCTTTCCAGTTTTACATCCTTTCCAAAAATAAAGAAATGATACAGAAGCCATTTGTCATTTCCAGTAATTGCAAAGTGCCTCTTCCTATGGGGTGCTGGAAAAATACTAAAAGGGCAAATGGCAGCACACACAGATGTTATGTTGAGGGCTCTGATGCCATAAATCCATTGGCACAAAACAAAAGTCACTACAGTTTATTACTTTTATTTTAGATTCTTTTTTCCGGTCCAAGCATTATGTTATAAGAGGTGTTATGCAACTCCAGATACTTGAAGGTTTTCACTACTGTGTGATTTGGCAGCTTCAGTCTCTCTTTGCATATGGGCTAGTTAAATACATATTCCCCAAAGATGATCCCATTTTGTTTGACAGCCATTCTTCTAACTGACAACTGCAATAATCAAATAAAGACTTACTCCCCAGCTGGCAGCTGAGCACAGCCCAGGAGGGTTTGAGTAGTCTCCCAGGGAAGGTGCCGACTGCACTATTCTTATTGTGCTTCCTGCCTATAAAGCCACACCACAGCATTGACAAAAGCTTGAGATGACGTCATGTGCTTCTTCATGTGGCTAAGGACAATGCCTGGTGCTACCCACAGATCGCAAACAGACAAAGATGGAAGGAAACATGCAAAGGTAATTTACTATTAGGCTGATCCAACTCTGCATTCCTTTCCATTCTTTTATCTGAAATGTTGCACTCTGACTAAACTCCTATTTCCTAGAAATGCCACCATTGCCAAACACATCCTCTTCCT